CACGCAATGCGGGCTTGACAACCAACGTTTAATTTTCTACCCGCTGCCTCTCTCCTTCCACTCACACTTAAATTTTCATCTTTACTGTCTCCATCAGTGTTCCTTCCCCTTCCCCACAGCACTTTTCCCCCTGGTACGGCACGGGGCGTCTCTCCGCTGTCACCCTCGACGGTGCTAGGCACCTGGCGCCCTGCCACCGAGCCTGCCGCGACCTGACCCTGCACGCGAGCAGCCGCCTCGGCAGGCGACACGCCTCCGGGCGGGGCGATGACGCCGAGAGACGCACCCGGCACGAGCCGCCCGGCCGCGGCAAGGTCGAAAGTCATGCGCAGTGCTCGGAGCGTAACACCTTTACGGCCCGCTGCGCCAGCCCAGCGGATATTCTCGAGACCGAGTGATCGATGGTTGCATTTGTCTGCCGGCTTAGCCGGTGCCTCTCCGCGACAGGCACTGTGGAGGTATGTTAAAAGTCTGCTAAAACGAGAGCTATTTTAATTGCGCAACCAAGACGGCACCGACCGCCTTTTTCGTCATGCCTATCTTACGAAATCGCACACTGTGGTTGCAGCGTACGTAAGGATCGATTTCAGATCTCAGTAACCAGAGCAGATGCTGTTATGATTAAGGCACGACTTCTAATTCCCGAGACATCTGCACTGAAAGATATGATGACGCTAAAACGCGCCAGACAGCGTGTAACGCGATTTTCACCTTAGATAATGGAGGGATGTAATAGCTGCCAATATTTCGTCCCATGGAGATGTTTTTTGGAACCCTCTGCTGACTCCCGCAAGGAAATGGGGACGCATTTGTGGGTAACGGTGCAGCGCACCTTCTAGGATAAAGCTATGACACTGATATAAGGCTGTCTTTGTAATGTCAGCCAAAGCACATGCATTCTTCAAACGCGACATATTTCATCGCTTAGCTCATTTCGAATGCTCTTATGAGCATTTTGCTACGCGCGAGGCCACAGGCTGAGTGAGCTTTGCATACACCGTGACCAAACCTTCAATCTGAGTGGCCTGGCCCGGCCTTCACCCTTTTTATTCGCCAAGATGTTTGCAGCTAAAGACCACAGGTTCGAGCAATTTTCAACCACAGGAAACGCAATGCCTGAAAAGCTCTGCTGCATGAGTCTTTGGACAATGCAAGTCGTTTTATCAGGCGGTTTTTCTGCTCACTATAATAGCACCGCGATTTCCTCTCCTTTACTGTAGTAACACACTCGGGAGTACCTGGTGAGCATGCTCGGCTTGTCCGAGCCGGTGGTGGTGGACGGCGTCGGGACCCCTGCACGCCCATGCATGAGCTCTCCTCTGATGTCGGCTGCACCAGAGTACCATGTGTCTCATCGTAGGCCGAATATCACGTGACTCGCGAACCGACCAATGGGCTCCCCGTGCAAGTTTTGCTTTCCAGGAGCGGCGCACGCAGAAGCGCCCACCAACATCAGAGAAGCGTTCATCTACCATCTACCATCGAGATGGGCACCCGAACGTATGGATAACGTAAAACTTGCACATTGAAAAGGCTGAGCAATACGGGTTGAAACTAAATGCACAGTTTGACAACCCAGCGTCCCAGCGATGGAGACTAACACATTCTGAAGAAGAGAACGAGATTCGTTATCAAAATTAAAAAAAAAATACAGCTTGGTAAGCTAAAACAAACATCATTTTTTTGAGAGCTGGATATCTAAAATTCGATGCTTTAGGAGGAAGATAAATGAATTATAAGCATAAAACTACATCTAAGATGCAGAAAGGCACATGGCGTTTCAAGATGCAACCACCTCTAACAATTATGTTAGGCCATGTGATTATATTCGCCAAAATGATACCGCGTTTGGTTTCGTACGCCTTCTGCCTGTCACCCGAACATCATTCACGTGTGCTATCAGGTATTCATTGAATAAATCTGATTCTTCCAAAATGATTCTTGCTCCCTTGAAGCAGCGATCTGTTTTACTGTGACTCCTGGCTTACAGAGAGGAATGACGTGTATAAATTATGATTAACAACAGTGCAAACCAGTCCCAATGTCCAGTACCTGCTCCACAACGGCTTAGAAAGTAGCTGGAAAGCTGTTTTTGTTCAGCCTTGTTAAACACGGCGGCTTAACGAGGCCGGCCGGCACCATGGGTCTTTTGACATCAAACTACTCGCAGGCCTTCCAACCAGGTGCTCTATTGGGAATCGCGATGAACGCTGCCCAGGGCAGAACATTCATGAAAACTGTCATTTCGCTAAGTGAGCAGGAGCACTGTTTTGTGTAGCTTATTCTGAGCATGCTCGAAAGCTAACTCTCCCTCGCGACTGCTGGACTTCAGTGATCTCCACAATACCCTTGTGCTCATTATTAACTGTCGTCTTGCTAAAACCAATACAGATATCGTCTTCAGTTAACTCAGAACCTGACGAATACGAGCGCTGTCCAGAGGTATATCTCATGGTGTACACGTGACACCCATTTAAACTACTCGGTGTTTCTTCACATAAAAGGTGGCATGTTCACAGACGTATGACTCATGCCTACAGATAAAACGTGCTGTTTTACACGTGCTGTTTTAAGGGACATTGCTCACACTTATTGTGATACCGTCTTCACAGTTCCGCAGGTGTTCTCATATGAACCGTGTTAAGCGCACCACCATTCTCATTCATCGCATCATCTTCACCAGCATTATACATATACCATGCCTTGGTCACGGAAAGACAATGTCAACAAAAACTGATGTGACAAAGCAGTCGGAGCGAGCAGCCTTCAGCGGGTTAATGCCAAACTGGGTTATTTCTAGTGTAACTTAGTGTAGCCTCTGCCACACTGGCCCTGCCGCATCATGTATCCCTGGGTTTGGTCATGTTCTGCGTCAGGTCAGCTTCACCTCTGAAATACCACTGCCTGAGCCCGGGGGCGCCCCAGTCTGACCTCCCACAGGCCGTACGGAGGGGCCCTCCCAGCTGCAAAGGGTACAGGGGTGCAACCAGCAAGGTACAACGGAACAACGAAACCTCTTGCAGTAGTTCTTCCGCCGTCAACAAAAACAACTGTCTCGCATACTGACTGAGCATGAGGCTGTGAAGCCTTAGCTGGTTAGTTGGTTACTGGGTTTTAAGGACGCGTCAACTGCGGTGGTTCCGTGAGGTTGCATGGTTACCTGGCCCGCGATCGTTGTTTATATATCCGATTTGGCGGATCTGTCGGCTGAGTTTGGGTCGCTGTATCCATCAATACCCGAACGCAAGAGCCAGAATTGCATTCAGTAATGGTTGGTACGTGCTGGGTTGGATGTCGGTCGATTCAAATAGAAGCATGGTATAAACCTCTGATATGTACAGCTATCAGACCATGTATCAAGGTTTCAATTATTGGCATATGATGAAGGCTTGTCAGACAGTCTAGTTGCATTATAAAGTTACAACCACAAGCGCTCTATGACGGATAAACTAAGCAAAGGTGACTTGGTTTCAAATGCAGCAGTAGTCAAATGATCGCCCTTCCAATGCATCCGGCAGATATTTTTTATAGACTCTAAAATCTGTGTACTTTTTTCCAAAATCTTCTACAAATACCTCCAAAAGACAAAGTGCAGTCCTGGCAGCAGACGTATGAAATTGATACCTGGTTGATGTGGTTGACGTCACATCCGAGGTCGACCAGTTTGTCGACGACGATCGGTCGGTTGTCCCTCACGGCGTACATTAGAGGCGTGAAGCCCCTCTGAAACAACAAAACAAACAAGGTTCTACCATATCAGACACACGAACCACACGTCCTGTACACTTGCGGGATAGATGCCACTTGCATCGCACGGGCTCGGTGATTTTTATTTGTTACATTAAATTGATGGACTGACTACAGTAGCAAACACCTCCACGGGTAGCAACATATTCGGAATGAGAAGCTGCTGCCTGATATGCCTCTCCAAAAGCTTGCTGTGAGAACGAACAATGAGGATGGTGTTTGGGTTTGGGGATGCTTTGACTGCCTTGGCCATTTTGCAGTTTAGTGGTTACACAAAGCTATCATAATTGTAACTAACTATACGCAGCTGATGTTGAAATGATCCATTGCGTCCTCACATATTCTTTATATATTTGTCTACTTAAATTTAAAAACGTGACCCGACAAAAGTTGCGTCAGGTCAGGTACAGATTGCCAAGCGATGCGTCAGGTTGACCTGCCTGCCTCCGTGACGAGACTGTCGACCTTAGCGTCAGGTTGAGTGGATTGTCTCATTTGAAAAAGGGTCAATCAGAAGTCATTTACTGAAGAAAGCTAAGGCATGCTTCTAAGGACGCAGATGACGACTCCTGTCCACACAACTTTTGTGAAGATTAACATCACGCCTACGGTGTTGGATAACTAAAGGTGTGAGCCTGTTTAAAAGATTGCTGCCCTTCTTCCTGAGTCAGCTACACATGTGCGCTGTGTTAAGCCATTTGGCGTTTGACCTGGATGCACGGTTCACCTGCAGTGACATGTAATGCTTGCAGTATCTGTGAGCCACTATCTGCATGTCACATGGTGCATGTACATAGCCATCATGGCTATCCGGAACATGCACATACGGCCACCCAGTGCAGTCGTTGACGGCGATTTCGCCACCCTGAGGGAGCTGAGGGAGACAGAGATGTCGCCACCAACCTTCTTGACGGGCCTCCGCCGGAGAGGCATCCACCTCCCCAAGCTGAAGTAACATCCTATGGCATCACCGTCTGGATTATACCTTTGGCTGTAATACAGTGCTTAACCATGTCGGCACCTAGATATCTCCTAGGAGCACCGGCGACGTCGAAGTGCACGTTGAAACCCGATGTCAGTGCCGGCACCACGCAAACGTTGCCTGCTCAAAACGGGTGCCTTTGCAGACGCTTGGAGTAGCGTTCATGCGAACCGGTATCAGGTTTCACACATATGCAGCTCTCTTTCGAGCACCGCTCGGCAATCTGAACCTTCCGGGGTATCGTCAGACAGCGCATCTCCCCCAGCCTCACCTCGTCCAGCACCTTGTGGAGCGGATCGGTCAGCCGACCCTCCTGCGCCGCCCGCTCCAGCGACTTCAGGCTCTGCTCCACGGCCACCCAGTCGGAGCGCTGGCACTGGACGAGCACGCGGCGCGCCAGCACGCGCACCCGGTGCGAGGCCTGCTCTTGCAGCTCCTCGTCGGACTCGTCGCCGGCCGGGCGGCGGCCGGGCGAACGGCCGGCTGCCATGCGGCGGGCCCATCCTCCAGCGGCCGCGCGCCTCGTCTCGCGCCGCGCCGCCTCCGCGACGAGACTGTCGCCCGAGGCGGGCCGACTCGGCCACAGCTCGCCTCGGTCGGCCATGCCGGCCAGGTGCCCGGGGCGCACTGGCGCCCTGCGAGCACGGCTCATCGAACGGAGCGCGCGCGGCGCAGCCCGCGACTCACGGCACGACTCGTGATGCGGCGGACCCCCGGCCCCCGCCCGCCTCGTGATGGGCGGACCACACGGCCCCTGCCCGCTCGTGATGCGGCTGACCCCCGGCCCCTGCCCGTTCGTGATAGGGCGGACCCACGGTCCCCGCCCGCTCGTGATGGAGCGGACCCACGGCCCCTGTCGCTCGTGATGAGGCCCGCCTGCTCGTGATGCGGCTGACCCCGGCTCCGTCCGCTCGTGATAGGGCGGACCCACGGTCCCCGCCCGCTCGTGATGGAGCGGATCAACGGCCCCCGCCCGCTCGTGATGCGGCTGACCCCCGGCCCCCACCCGCTCGTGATGCGGTGATAGGTTCCATCCTGGAGCGAGACTTCAAAGATGAAATGTTTCCGATATACTATGGATATAACCAGTTTAAGTCAAAATGAATATACGGTAGGGCGGCGTTTGCCCACTCATAAAACAGAGGTTTTCTGTATTATTGGAATCACAACAGCGCTATGCAAAAGTGAATGTTGTTACGTTATGAGACTGTCGCCCGAATAAAACAGATTCACTCGTAGAAAGAGTTTGTTGTACGGTCAGCCAGATTTGAGTGAGACGCTCTCGGGGGTTGGCGGAATAAAATGAAAACCAAAATCTGACGTGTGTGTTTTAATTAGAGCGTGAACCCCTGTACCAGGACTATTGAATGTACACTGCCGCACTCTTCGAGCGCGATTATAAGCATTTTTCTGGGCCTCTACATGCTGGTCATCCTGCTCAGGGTAGGCCGGCCTCAGTTAGGAATGGACCGTCAAGGAGTGATTTGGCCAAAGGAGGTCATGTTTGCCGAGAACGAATTTACACTGTCGGCATATGGAGCACCCACCGTGACATGTGCACTTGGTCGCGCCCGCCGCACACGACCAGACATACTTTATCTTAGGCCCGTTGATTTGCGGATCGCCTGCGCGGACGACCGTCAGCATTGAGTGAGACGCTGTCGGAGGCTCGCCCAAATAAGAAAAAATGATCCGACAAGTGTGCTGAGCTGGTCGCCGATAGCCCTACACCCAGCGCTATCAAAAGCAGACAGTCGCACCCTTCGCTGCGATTACAAGTACTCTCTCTCGGGCTGCCGTACCCTGGCCATCACGCCAGCGGCGGGCCGGTCGTCGTTTCCACTGCGCCATCAAGCGGTAATGTAAACACAGCTGGTCACGTCTGCAGGAAAGCAGCTTATATTGCCGGCTAATCAGATTATCGCAGTGACATGGCGCACACATAGCCACATCCACCGCACACGACACGTTATTTTTAAATTCGACGCTGTAATTTTCCAAATCTCTGGCTCGGCCGTCCTGACATCATCAAGTGTGACGCTGCCGGTCGGTCCACCGAATGCTACGAAAACCGGAATCCGACGAGTGCGCTGTACTGGCGGCCGATAGTCCTATACGAGCGATGTCGAATGCGCACATTAGCACTCTTCTTGAGATAATGAGAATTTTCCGGGCCGCCGTATTCAGGCCATCACTCCACGGGCAAGCCCGCCGCCTTTAACAATGCGTTGTTAGTGGTGGATTTGGAACAAACTAAACTGCCATGTCCCGCCGATGAGCGATTTACATCGTTGGTCGTCAGCGGTCCGGCAATGACATCGGTGGCGTTTAGGTTGCGTCCGATGCGTATGGATAAAAGTATTTTCAGCTGCACACCGTATCTTTGCAAGCCTCCGGCGTGGCCAGTCAACCAGAATGGAGTGAGATCCTGGCTTAAGGTCAACTGAATACATTTGAGACCGGAATCGGACAAGTGTGTTGCACTGGAAACTGATACCCCTATGCCCTTCGCTATGGAATGCATACGGTCCTTTTTATAGGACATTATTTATTCAAATCACTACAAGAATACGTACTGCTAACTGCGGCCAGACCGTCAATAGCGTAATTGCTAGAATACGGTAGACCAGAAAGATATTTACAATCTTACGCAAAAAGCGTGAACCGTCACTACATGACTGATATTGTAAATCCATATCGCTGGTTAAGTACTATTAGCTCTCAGCACAATTTATCTGTCTGATTCGGTTTTCATTTTATTCGGTCGACCCACCGACGGCATCTCACTCAATGCCGGTACCGTCCGCACAGGCGACTTGCAAATAAAGGCAACGGCGCTTCGTTTACACTTATCTTGGTCGTGCTCAGCGGGTGCAACCCTCCGCACATAATGTCTGTGAACTCTCTCGGCCGACATTGTAGGTCGGTCAGCGGCCAGTACGATCTCCTTTGTCCAAATCAATATCCTCACTTGGCATTACTGGTTGCTGCGGGCCTGCCCGCAGCGTGATGTCAAGTACACGTAACACAGGTAAAATAATAATTGCGTGCAAAGGGTGCACCTCTGTGTATTCAATAGCGCTGGCATTCGTCTGTCAGCTTCCACTTTTTAGTCCAACACATTTGTCGGATTCTGTTTTCTATTTAGTTTGGTCGACCCACATACAGCGTCTTACTCAATTTTGTCGGGCCGGCCGCAGCGGAGTTTTGCAAAGATGCGATGTCTAATCAAAAATAGTTTGCCTCCTGCGCGTAGGGTGCAACCATGCTCACACAATGCCGCTGTGAGAACACCATCCACCGGCAGTGTACATTGCTCATAGACCGTCGTTACACCAGGGGTGGGTAGGTGACCGATACCAAATGTGCGGGTCGCTGTTGTCTGTTCTCGCGGACTTCCTAGTTGCCACTTGTTAAGTTTTATTTTCTTCACAAGCTCCGCGATTCCGAAGTTCACGTTCATTCGTGATCACTTTATCGATCACAATGATAAGGTAGTCTGAATTATAGCGATAGATATGTAATACAGGATTGCTTATCACACCACCGATATTTCAATTTCAAGGTCAAGTAGCTTATCTTATATCATCTATCAATCATTAGCCATCAACTGGAAATGTACGTGAGAGTACCAGCCGCAGATATGAATGTTACGGTCGGATGAAATTCACCTCGAGAACATTCGTGAAGCCGCGATTTAATTAGCAAATCAGAAAAGTATTCTGATGCTTACAAGTATAAATCGGCCGATAACTTGTAAAAAGTAACTAGCTGAGCACGCAATGAGATCGATTTACAGAGAGACAAGGGCGGGAACAACAGCTCGCTTTGATTTCATGAGGTCGGAGCGTCCTCACTTATCATTCTCATGATTATGGGATTTCCAGACGTCTTATCCAGGGCAATCATTTTCAGAATCGCATGGTGCTCGGCGCGTGCTCTGGAAACGCATAGAGGCCTAAAATGTCACAACCCGTGCGGGACATGAACAGCATTACAGGAGAACTGCTATTTGTTGAAGCGTCATATCAAATTTCATGAGTGTCATATTTACAACACCATTTTTCGGCACAGTCTTTGCCGCACCATCATCGGCATGACAAAAGAGACGGTTCGGCTCTTGCCAGTCTGTTCTGGTCAGCCGGTGACCTGCGTGCGGTTCGTCTACGATCACTGGCCCCGTGCTTATGCAAAAGAACCTTTCATCATAGCGACTCTTTCTAGAGCGCGGTGTGTAAATGTCTGCTATTGATACTGGATGGCGGTGCCTGCATCACCCCTGGGCGAGCTCTGAGCTACCGGCAGTCTGTCGGCCGATGTGATCCATCGAAGTGGTCCGATTGCGTGGTTCATAGTGTGATCCTGCCGTCAATTTGATCCATTTATCGATGAAAGACCAATGCTGGAAGTGAATAGCAACTCTTAACGAGGCGGCACTGATATTGTTTGCCGTTCGTGGCAAATGCAGAGGCTAAGTGAAACAAGGCGTGGGAGGTAAGGATCCAGGCAACGTTAACGGCCAACATCGAGGGCCGAATAAATCATACATCCGGTTGGAAAACAGATGTAATGAAAACAGAAGTTCTGTATCGTTAGAAGTAACAGGGTTTGGGCGGATCTCTGGATACCCAAATGATCGCTTACAGTTGCCCAAGACACGACACAGTATAGAATGGTATCCTGGATCGCAATCAGACCACGGAATAATCAGCTTCAGCACGTCTGTTGCTAGGGCAAGGCTATAGCATCAGGGATGTCTTCTATGGTGATGCAGTCTTAGTGGAAGCGATTTGGCGAATGAGGCTGCCAAGACCTTAATATTTGTGTCAGCTAGATAAACGTGGGCAACTTTGTGGCCTGCATCACCAGCTGTAGCTGCCCACCTCCACGCCCACACCGGGCTGATATCGGTCCTTAACTCTCCCGGTGCACGGGGGACCGGCCACAGATCGCCCGCCTGGCGGCCGACACACCGCGGACCAATCACCGCCCGGGTCACAGCGCGCCGGGCACCGCGACCTCCGACCGGCGAGCGGACCGGACGCGCCGCGCGGCCTGAGACGAGGCCGCCAATACAAGTAATGCTGTTACATTTGGAACGGTTTTGCTTTTGTTAAGAGAAGAGTTGTGTTAGGTGCCAGGGGATTATCGATGCTTCGTGACCGTTTCCAACTTAGAGACTCGCTTTAGCACCCGTACTGTGGAGAGCACAGCTGCCAGAGTAGCTGCTACGCAGACCAGGAACAACAATGCAACATTAGTAGAAGAAGCTGCAGCTGCAGACACCCGCGGCGCATACCAAGGAAGAAAAAGCCAAGAGTGGGAGATACGCCTGAACGAGAGTAAATATTTTTCTTCTACCAGTTTCCCGACGAAAGAAGCGTGAAGACGACCTGCTAAGTTTATATCATGAAGGGATCCGCACAAACATATGGCGGTTACCGTCCATGAGGAGGGGGGTGGGGGGTGGGGGCTAGTTCATTGTCCATATGTGAATCGCATTTGTGGAGAAACGGAGGCCGAGTGCTAAAGCACCAAATAAAAAGGCACAAAAGAGCAGATCGCTGGAATAAGCCGTCCCAGGCTCCACAGTATGCATTCCAG